AGATTTTACCTCGTTCGCTTCTCCAACTCGAATGACCGAAAAATTTGATTGCCGAATGCATCGTCGACGTGTTTCCCGTCAAATTTGTGTGCTCGGGGATAAATCTTTTTCTCTCTTCGTTTATATTTTCACCCTCGAATGGACATTTCGAAACAAGTTTACGCGATTGTTTGTTTTCAATGGGATATTTTATATCAATTATCTAAAATATGATGGAAGAGAAGAAAAGAGAATATCCATGATTATTTAAACAATATGTGTACTCTGTACTGACGTCACTTAAAACTCTTGGTATACCTCACGATAGCACATCGTATCCATCGTACATACAAACGTAAAAATGCCAATCCCACATTCCCTATCTATCTATACCATGATATAGATACACTTGCACGGGTATTGACACACGTACGCACACGCACGCTGTCACTGGCAAACGAACACGTACACGATCGTCTCTTGATCCGTCGTTCCAGCCGCAGTTTGCTTAGCATTGCTGATGCACTATCCACTTCCGCACAAGTGAGATGGACACTGTAGAAGAGTGGAATATAGTGAGAGAGAGAGGGAGAGAGAGAGAGAAGGTAGATGTAATTGTACAAAGAGAGAAAGATATAATTTATCAAAATTTTTCGTTACCTCTTATCCGTAATATATATGTAATTTTACATACACATACAAAATAATTACTGTCTTTTCGCGACATAATGAAATTATCGTATAAAATGTGCTCTGCCGTTATCAATATTTATATTAAATTAATATCATTGCTATCATTGTTTGTATTCGGCCTATTGAAAGCCGATTACTTTGGATAAAAATGCGACAATTAAATATGCTTCTGTCAATGTGCCGAAAACAAGGCCGCGTGTAAGAACTAAGTAAACAGAAATTGCAGTATGATTGGGGACGAATTTATATCCGGGCGGGATTGCGCCGAAATAAAGCGATCCGTCCCCCCGGCATCCGTTCGATTTTCATGGAAATTATAATGGCTCGTCGCTATTCCGCGGAAAGTGCCGAAATTCCGTGAAAATACGTTTATCGCGAGCGGGCAGACACGGTACGACAAAATTAATCGACGCCATCGATGCACTTTGATGTGGAATTTTAACGCTTTTTGCGCGCTCGATGTATTCCCGCTATTTGTTTCCCTCTAGTCAATCTTTTTTTCTTTTTTATTTTACGTGGACGCGCTGTTAAAAGGAAAGTCGTTACGGGGTTAATTACAGACTATTCGACGAGGACTCTCTCCTTGCATCGACTGCTCGATCTTTATTCGTAATTTCAGATTTCCTTTCACACATCATGTATGTATATATGAATTTTGTTATTTTAGAATAAAATAATGTTTTCTTCATATCGATTACATTCAACGGCAAATAAAATAAATCGACGATTTGAGCGCGACGACATTAAACAGGATGACAGAACGGCAACGCAGAATACACGGTGTGTAATACACAGGGTTTGGAAACTATGCGCGACGCCCGCCGTGGGTGATGTTTTTCACTCTGCGGCAGTTTTTTGGCAATTTTTCACAGCAATTTTGTTTCAGTTATGAAAACGCGCCGCGCACCATGATTTCGCCTCGCTTTTCCTTTCAGACCGTGTTCATAAAACACAATATCCAGGTTTACGAGGTGATCGGCCGCGCTCGCTAAATAATGATACAACTCGTTCAACGGGGCCAGTTGATCAACGGGACGTCACGTGAAATCCATAAACGTTGCGCTCGATCAACGATCAACGGCACTTAAATACCCCATCGCGGATCGTTAATTAAATGACATGGCGCGCCCGATCCACCGGGTCATGGATCGCCGATCGATATATTCTACTCGAACGCGCTAATGAATACCGCCGAGCTACTCGCGCGCTGGCAAGCATTTCAGATTCGTACGCGATTTATGCGAAAATGTAAATATCGACGATTTCTATAACGGGGGCAATATTTATTCGATCCGCCTGTATGCACGGTACGATTGATATGTATTAGAGTTTTTCGCGGGTAGAATGCCAATCAGAAGCGATAAATACTTTTCAAAGGCATGAAAAGAATTTGCATAGCTATCGGAGAATCAACGTCCCTTTTCAAGAATATTCTATTTTTTTTTTTTTTTTTTTAACTCCCACAAAGATTACCTATGAACAGTTCTTTCACTACATTTCCATATTTGTAAAATATCCGTTTCATCCATTTCAATTCAAAACATATGACTTTCTTCTCAATGAAATGTTTAATAATGAACATTGAAGAATGATGATGGGATAAATAAAAAAATTCCATTTTTAAGAAACCCGCATACATTATCAACGATTTATTGTCATTATTCAAAGAGAAAAAAATTCGCCTGTATATGTATATAACATGCAATTAAATACATATCGTCGCAACTAACAATCGCCGATCTTTATATTTCTATCAAGTTTAAAACAAGCCTATTAACAAACGTCTAATCAAACTAGAAAACGGATAACAATTAAATTGTATTATAATTTCCATCGCGTCGACTACATATATATTTATTGCCAAAACCGCGAGCATAATCGCGTGGAGAGATCCGTTACATCCGCAGTTTCCAATTAAATATCGCCACTACGGGAGAGAGAGAGAGAAGGTAGAGAAAGGGTGAGAGGAAGGTCCGAGGGAAGATTATGGATAGAGAACGTCGGTGTCTGTGTTTGAGGACCGATAGTGGCTCGCGTTCTAATTAATAACGAGCCCCTCGATGCAGTCCGCGGGTTTTGCAGGGTGCACCGTGTATGAAGGAGCTTTCAGAAATCGAATAATCGAAGGGCAAAGAGTCGTTACTCCACTGGAAGAGGCACTTACGTTAAAAGAGAAAAGATTGCGAACCCCCGGGAATTTTTAATTCATATTTGAGAAACTCGGCAAAAATTTTTCAGTTATTTGAAATATAATTTTAATAAAGTTTTATATCAACAATATATATATAAATAGTTTGATATATTAACGTAACATTTTGAATTTTATCTATAAATAATAGAAAGCGTTCCGGAAATGTGGCCATTTTTTCACATATCAATTCTTCAATCAATACGTTATCCTCAACATGCACATATAGATATTGATTTTTCTTATCATTATCAATAGAAAGGATGCTAATATCTTGACAAATTTATATTATATATATTTTTTATTTTTCATAATATATATAATATAAAATAAAACACATTTATTTTTCACCTCGTTTTTATTAGAAAATTAAATTAATTTGACTGATATGCTAAATTTTAACCTTCATATTGCATTATCTCTGATGCTGATCTAGTGCGTGTGGATGCACACATAAGATGTATTTGAACAGGCGGACGCCTCCCCACGGCTCACATTATTCAAAGAGAAAAAAATTCGCCTGTATATGTATATAACATGCAATTAAATACATATCGTCGCAACTAACAATCGCCGATCTTTATATTTCTATCAAGTTTAAAACAAGCCTATTAACAAACGTCTAATCAAACTAGAAAACGGATAACAATTAAATTGTATTATAATTTCCATCGCGTCGACTACATATATATTTATTGCCAAAACCGCGAGCATAATCGCGTGGAGAGATCCGTTACATCCGCAGTTTCCAATTAAATATCGCCACTACGGGATATCCGAGGTGCGACAGTTGATCTTTCTCATCTCCGCCTTCCATCTCGCCCATCCAGCTCCGTGTCACTCGCAGAGATCGCAGCAGGTAAACGTGCGGGCGGCGAGACCGACGGCTGCGATGCTGCTATCGATCCACCGATCGTGTAACCGACGGGAATCGATAACTAATACTCGTGCCGAAGCTCGGCCCGCCGGATGTTGCCTTGTTGATAAAGGACCCTGGCGAGCATCAAGGACGCCGCAGGAGGGCCGTAGGGCACGCGGCTACCGGCACATAATTGATTGGCATTAGCGCGCCTGATTGCCAGTCGCCCTCCTCCAAAATCGTCCTACGGGCTGCTGCTTAAATACCGGCCAACATACGTCTCTCTCTCTCTCTCTCTCTCTCTCTCCCTCCTCGAACTGAACGCTACGCGATTTGAGCGTTCGCGACAGTAATCAGGCAATATGACGCGCGCGACTAAGGAAGGTCGATTGACATGGGTCCGTAACATTGTCTTCTCCTCTATAACGTTAACGTTGAATAATTTGCAGTTTCCACGAAATATCTCGACACACGCCGTCGCATTTTTATTTTTTTGCGGGATTTAATTGTGTAAAAATTGATTATTGAGTTGTTAAAAGAATGGAAAAAAATGAGAATTGGAAGGTATATGCAAACTGGCAGGTCGATGGAAAACATTTTCAGCAAATTGCAGTCGTGCTCCCATGCGGGTACTTCTTATCGGAGACCGTGTGTCAACCCTTTATTCGAACTGCCGAAAAGAAGATCACCCTCAATCTGTACGATGCCGGTGGGAATGAAAGAGCCGGAAGGGGATACGTGGTTTCAAGTGTGAAATAAAAGATCTACGCTCGATATGGATAGGTGCGCGTTTTTTAAGTTTGACTGGGAATTAAATTAAACGGAGCAGATACAAATAAAACGTCAAAAAATATACAAATGACAAAATACAATTTAAATAAATAGTTATCAAATGCAAAGTTCTAGTTTAAAGTTTTATTTGAAATAAAGAGTGCTTTGTTAGAGAATTCGTAAAATTGAAAATCTATTATTCAACCACAAAATAATAAGAAATTTGAGTTTAGCGTTAACGGTATAAAAATAAAATTTAAAAACTTTAACTTAATTCAAAGATAGCAATAGAGATGTTTTACTTGTCGTATCATAAGAAAGTTAAATGAATATCTTTAGCTTGAGTCTATTATTGTGAATGAGGTCGTCTTCGTTGAATTACAGTACTTTGTTAGTGTCAGTATTACGGAGTACTACTTGCAATTCTTGATTGAATTATCACGAGGCATTATGTTAGAAGCTTGTCAGGCGTCATACTTTCTCCGGTGAATGTTCGGAAGCTTTTCTCACCTGAAGACAATGTCTCCTCGCGAGCCAGCCGATGTGCTGAAGCTGCTGCGGATCCGGAAGTGCTGAGGCCAGTCGTAATGCTTTCAAGGTGAGAGCTGCCAACGCCGAGTGCAAAGCATTGAACCAGACATTCGCCTCGGTGCTGTCAGCGGCTCTCAACCAGCATTCGTGGACGCCGTCAGGCGAGTGCAGCTCGAGAATGCGGCCTTCTATAATAAAAAGAAAAAAAGAATATACATGATATTCGATAAAATGGCAAAGATTGTTACAACCAATTATTGTTTTAAAGTTTCTACAGATGTAAAGCAAATTATGTGCCTGTTTGCCCTCGAATACAGCGTATCTTTATCTCTAAAAAACTTTGAGAGCTTTAATTATCATAGAAATAATAATACTTTTTTTGATCTCGTGTTTTGCCATTATCAATCGAAAGTACTTGCTAGAAAGCAATCTGTTTCCTATAATGTATCTAATTATCGAAATTAATTATCTTACATTTCATTTTGAAAAAAGTACCGACGCAATTCAATCTGCAATCTCATTTTAAATTCTACAGGATTTAACAGTTTTTTTATACCGAGAGCTGTCGAAAAACATCCATTCTTTCTTTTCGTAATCAGAGGTTGGCTTCCGCCAACCTCGCATGGCAAAGGCGAGGCAAACAACGGTGCTAGAATTGAACTCGCCCGGCGTCGTTCCTGGTAGCTCTTATAAACCTTCCTCTTTTCGTTAACACGAAAACTTTAATACGTCTGACATAAATCTCGCGGGATCGGTCACGAAGGCCCGGGAATAAGTTTATAACCCGTAGTATCCCCTGCTCTGGAGATTGTCTCGCTTCTCGACAGCCCGCATAATTCGTCTACGTACACTGCGAACCTCGAGAGCCTCGCAATTTCCTGTTTGGCTTCTAGTTTCTAGATTTATTATGCTAATGCTAGACTCATTTTTCAACGCCAATGATTGCGCAACTTGTTATCGATCTGTCGAATTATCCCTCGCATGTTTAAGTTTTTAGTATTTTAAATTTATCAGATTTAAGAGAGTAGCTTGTACATTTTAGAAATATTCTTTTTAGCAATGTATTTTATTTTATAAATAATTTCAAATTTGTTTCTGTTTTTAAAAAGTTAATTTCATTATTGCATAATAATTTTTTATTTTTTAAAATCTTTAAAAAGTTTTTTACGTCGATAATTGTCGAAACATTTAATGTGTTGATTAGACACGATAGGCATTTGAAAAAATAAACTTCCAGTTGTTTGAACAAAGTAAAATTTTTTGAATTCTGTTCATTGTGTATTGAATATGAGCGAATTACGTGGAATTTTTTTTCTAGCATTCTGTACAGAGAGAAGTTCGATGAACGCGATACACTCGCGAGTCGAAACTGCAGCCATCATTCCTTAACCCCAGCTCAGATTCACGTAAAACTCATCGGCGTTTCGTACGAAAACGTATCCCATGCTCTCTTTTCCGATTCCGCATTCTAATCGCCCCTCTATCGAGAAACGGCGCGGAAAGTTCCGGAAGCGGCAAACTCGCGCTACGTGTGCGCGAAAGGCGCGGCGGCCGCGTAAGAAAATATTGAATTTCCGATCAAAAGGAAATTACGCTCGAGTTAAAAGCCCCTTTATGTCACTCCCGTCTGCCCGGTAAGTTTTATATCAACAATAAATAGTTTGATATATTAACGTAACATTTTGAATTTTATCTATAAATAATAGAAAGCGTTCCGGAAATGTGGCCATTTTTTCACATATCAATTCTTCAATCAATACGTTATCCTCAACATGCACATATAGATATTGATTTTTCTTATCATTATCAATAGAAAGGATGCTAATATCTTGACAAATTTATATTATATATATTTTTTATTTTTCATAATATATATAATATAAAATAAAACACATTTATTTTTCACCTCGTTTTTATTAGAAAATTAAATTAATTTGACTGATATGCTAAATTTTAACCTTCATATTGCATTATCTCTGATGCTGATCTAGTGCGTGTGGATGCACACATAAGATGTATTTGAACAGGCGGACGCCTCCCCACGGCTCTTTCGATCGTGAGAAACACGAGGATGGAGGG